ACATATACATATATTTTATTGAGTATAATAGTTTTTGGGGGTCCAACACGATTCCCACAAATCCCATAGTCTGTATCATTGCATAGCAATCGTACCGTTCGCTCATGCATTTTTACTGTTAGCGCTGCTGCGTTCAAATAAAATTATTATAGAATTAAAAAAAAAAATTAAAAAAATAATAAAAACAAAATAAATATACATAAATAAGCATAACAAGAGAGCAAAAAATTATAAAAATTAATTAATATAAAAAGAATAGAAAAAGAAACAACAACAAAAATGGAAAATATATCTTATATACAGACATCTGATGTATATAATAGTATATATTATATATATTTACTTACAATAGAATAATAGTTAGAATTTATAGCAAAAAAAAAATAAAAGAAAAAAATAAAAATTTTGCAAAAAAAAATAAAATAAAAATTCAATTAAAAATCATTAAAATATGATTAAAAAAATGCCCAATTAATTCAGAAAAACAAATTTTAAAAATAAACAAAATATTTAACATTCAAAATATAAGTGAAAAAAATACTGAATATTTCAAAAATTAAGAATTAAAAGTAAAAAATTGAAAAATAAGAAAAAAAAAAATTCTATTTAATTTAAAATTATACTTGCATTTGTAATTCAAAAGACTTGAAATTATTGCATTTTTTATAATAAAAAAAAAAAGAAAACAAAAATAAATAAATTATTATTATTACTATAAATAAAATTAAATTTAAAATTCTTATATATTACACTTAATAAAAAAAAAAGAACAAAATTTAAAGAAAAAACAATAAATACTAAATATTTAAATAACAAATTATAATTAATCCTGAAATTTATATAAATAAAAAAACCAAAATACGATATATATATATCTATATATATCGTAATATATATATAGACTTAAAAACAAACAAAAACGCATTGCCATTAATTATAAAAATATTCGCAAAAATTAATAAATATAATGCAAAACAAATAAAAGCAAAAACAAAAATCTATTAAAAAATTAATAAATTAAAAACAAAAATGGAGATCATCTAACGGTTTATTATACATACATACATACATACATATATTCTTGTAAAATATATTATTATTATTAATTATATTCATAAAATTTATTATTAATATATATATATATATTAATATATATTAAGAATGCATCAGAAAATTAAATACACACACCCATTTAAAATATTAATTAAAAATTATTCTTATTACAAATAAATCTATTAAAAATAAAGTAAAAAAACAACAAACAAAATTAAACCTAAAAAAAAAAATGACAAAAATATTATTATTAAATATAATTAAATTTAAAAATAAAATAAGAACAAACACAAAAATTATTTAGAATTTATATATATATGAAAAATAAATAGAATATTATAATAACAATTTATAATAAAAAAATTATATTAATAAATTTATTATTAATTAAAAATCAAAAAAAAAAAATTATGAAAGAGAAAAAAAAATATATTTTTGTGAAATATTTAACCCTTATATATTTAAGATGTTGTTCCATTAAATGTGTTTACACATAGTACATACACATATAATATATGGTATATATTATATATACATAATATTTAATATAAAATATAATTTTAGTACATATAATAAAATAATAATGTGTATTTATATAATAAAATATTAAAAAAAAAAAATTTTTAATAAAATAAAAAATAAAACAAAATAAATATTTTTAAAATAATATTTAAATTTTAATTATAAAAATATAAGAAAAAACAAAAACAAATACAAATTATGGCGCTGTCTATATACCAAAACAAAAATTTAAATATAAAATAAAATTAATTAATAAAGAAAAGTAATAAAAATAAAAAAAAAACAAGAAGTATATTATGAATGTCAAAAAAAAAAATTATTTATAATTAAATTCCTTTGAGCAAGAATGTTGAAACAAATTTTATATATCATGTATGTGAATAGAAAATGTTGAGATATGAAATGAGATTATTGAACAAAAATTTTTACATATGAAAATTATGAAAAAATATAAATAATTATGAAAATATAAGAATAATTTAAAATATTTCTAAAATAAAAAAAAATGCTTATTTTGAACAATTTCAAGAACACAATTAAAAAAAAAAAAAATAAAATAATGTGAAAGAACTGAATGCGATTAAAATGATTTTAAAGAAAAAAAAAATTTTTAGTGTAATGAAATTAAATTGAACATAATAATGATTGAATTGAATGAAAAACAAAAAAAAAAAAATTGTACGTATAAAATTGAAAAAAATATATTAAGAATAAAAATGAATATAACAGTTAATTCTGTAAAAATCATAAATTAGAATTACTTGCGAATGGAATAAAATAATATTAATATTTGAAATAAATATTTGAAAATTTAAAAAAAATAAAGTAAATATTAAAAATATAATTTTAATTTTAATAATTAATTGTAAAATTGTAAAAGAAACAAACAAATCAAATGTATTGAATTAAAACAAAATTTTAATTATTTTAATTTAATACATTTTTAAAATAATTTTCCAACCAATTCATTTTATATATTTTACCCCAACCTTATGTTTTATATTCAAAATTATAAAAAATTATAAATTCAAAGAACAAAAGAAATGTATGACAAATAACAAAATGTGTTAAATAAATACAAAATTAAATTTAAAAACAAAATTTATAATTAATTATTAAATAAAACAAAAAATAAATAAATTTTAAAAATTTCTTCAATTTAATTAAATTTTTTTTTTTATTACTTAATAGAAGTTCAAAGAAAATATATAATTTAATTGAAAATGAAAATTTTAAAACAAAAAAGAAAAATTGCGTGATATTTCATTTCAAAAATAAAAAATAAAAAAAAAATAATAAAATAAATGTAATAAATAAATTAAAATTAAATTTAAAAATAAAAATTAAAAAATACTGCCATTCTTTAAAAATATAATTAAATTGACTGGATAAATTAAATTTAAAAAAAAAATAAAACTCTAAAACAACGACTGATTTTTTATTTTAATTAATTTTTTCTTATTTTCTCCTCTATACACATAATGTTAACAAAAAAATAAACGGTTAAAAGCAAAAAAATATAATTTTAAAACATTAAAAATATCACAATAATTTAAAAAAAAAAAAATTTTTTTTTCATTCATCTCGATTGAAATATTTTTATTTCTGATAAGAGAAATTATTTTTTTTATTTAATTGAATTTCTTTATTAAATTTAATTAAATTTTATTGCATTATTATTAAATTAATATAATTAATTAATTAATTTTATATTTTCCTTTGGGAAATTATAATTTCCTTTCGGAAAAATTAAATATTTTTTATAATAAATAAATAATTTTAATTCAAGATTATATTATGCTCATATTTTGAAAATTTGTTCAAATTTTTTTTTGTACAATAAAGTATCTTCTTTTAGGTATTTTTACAATTCTAGATTTATGTAACAAATATAATTACTAAAAATTTTATTAAATTCTAAAATCTTATCTTTATTCTAATAAATCGAATTCTATAATATAAATTTTTTTCATACCGCTCCAATTTCTTGCATCATTCGGTTTTCAACTAGGTGGTTTTCAACGAGCGGTAAACTTACAATATTCACTATTTCGAAAAATGTAGTCATTATTTCAAAAAAAAAAGAGAAAACAATTTTCTTTCAGAGCCTCTATAATATATTTGCAAATCAGTCTCAAAAATTAATAATAAAATGTTATGAATTAAAAAATCCTCAGATCGGCTTAGAATAGTTCTGATCTCTATACTCGTATTCTAAAAAATATATAATTATTTTTGTTCAATGTGGAATTTAATAAAAGAATTTAATTACAATAAAAATTTTTCGTATATATAATTTTAATTTTTAATTTAATTTTAATTTAATTTTGGATTTAATCTTAAAAATATTGCATAATTAAATAAAAAACTTTAAATTTCTCTAATCAGAAAATAAAATAAATTTATAAATACTCATTTCATATTTCATTAAAAAAAAAATCATTTTGTTTTTATAAATGTTTTTTTTTTTATTTTATTTAACATTCAATTTATAATTATACACATTTTTTTTGTCATAATTACTGCTGTTACTTCATTTAAATTATAAATATAATTTTGCTCTGTATACATTAAAGACTAAAAATTTTAATTATATTATAAAAGTAAAAGATTCAAATTCTTATTTCAAATAAAAAAAAATTAAAATTATATGAAATATAATAATAATGATTTTGATCACAATTTTCTATAATCATAATTACTATATCTATAATACTAAGTAAGTTAACTTGAATTTATTATAATCGAAAAAATTCATAATTATTAATAATTTTGAAATTCCCAAAAATCTTTTTTATTAATGTTAAAGTTTAGTATATTTTAAATGCGTAATATGAAATATTTAAAAATAATTTAATTATTTAACTTATTAATTAAAATGTATACATAGTAAATTATAATCATAAACATTTTTTCATCAATATCAATATTGTAATAATCAAAAATCATTTCAATTCATAAATTCTAATATAACAATATAATAATATTAATTTATTATATATGTTATTATTTCAAAATTCACTCATTTTTTCTTAATTCAAAATAATATGCTTATATATTTATATTAAATTATATTTTATATAAATATATTAAAATTTATTCTATTATTTATAAAATGGATTAGCTTGCCTTTAAATGAAGTCTGCAATAAACTTGTAAAATTAAATAAAAATTAATAAATTTAATAATTGAAAATAAACAAAAAAAGAAAAAGGAAAACTTAATATTTATTGATAAGTGTTTGAAAATAATTATTAAATAATTACAAAAAAGATAAAATTAAATTTAAAAATTTCAACAATTAGAGTGACAAAAATATTTGCAAAACCAAAAAAATAAAAGAATTAAAATTCTTCTAAAATATTTTACTGAAATATAAAAAAAAAAATAAATATTTTTTATATAGAAAATATTTTTTTTTTGTTCACTATACAAAACAAAAAATTTGAAAAAAGAATTTTTATTGAAAATAAATTTGAAAAAGAAAAAAATAATTAATTATTTTGTGTCAACATGAATTAAATTAAAACAAAAAAAAAAAAAGAAAACAAGTCACAAATAAAAATTTTCCAAAACACCACCATTTAATTGGAGAAAATTCAAAAATTAAAAATGAAGAAAAAAGAATATTAAAATTAAAAATATACATAAAAAAATTTTTACGGTAAATACGAACGCCTATAATATTCGAATAAAACAACAAAATAAAAAAAAAAAACAGAAAATAATTAAATGAGTAAAAATATTATTTTGATGAAAACTTATAATTTACCAAGTTGTAAACTTAATTTGACAACATCAACATCAAATCCTTTATCAAAAGGACGTCAATCTAAGGTGACAACACAAGATACAAATATGCCTGGCCCTCCAGTGTGGTCGGGTACGTAAAACAAAAACAAAAAATTTTTTTTTCAAAATTAAAAAAAAAAAAATTATATTTGATTATTATAAAAAAAATTAAACAAAATTTATTTTTCAAATTTGTTTTTTTGAATTTATTTTTTTAAGAAATTTTTAAAGTGGAATTTTTCTTAAAAATCAATCAAATTATTATTCACTACCATTTAATTGTCGATTCTTTTAACTTATAATTATTACTGATTAAATTTTCAACGCAATACACCGTACTGTATATAATATATGTAATATATAATTATTATATACAGTACGATATTAAAATTAATAAACAACAATATTGCCAACCAATTCTTTTCATAAGACAATTAATTCCGTAACCAATCAGCAGCAATATAGAGAAATTGTTATGGTTTATTGTCAATGCCATTAAATAATCTGACTAATAACTGTCAAATGTCTATGTTACATATGCAAGTATATCATTTGCGTTATTGTTTATATGAAAATCTGTTATATATTATTAAAATATGTGTATATAATTCCCGTTTACTGTTAACTGTAATTACTGTTAAAACTGTATTAACTAAAAGAACTAGTCTAACCCTTTTTATTAATAGAAATTAATTTTATTATTATGTTTTCTATATTTTTAATTAAATATATATATAAATGAGGAAAATTCCACTTGTCAGAATAATTGACAAATAAATGATTATGTTGTGTGTTGTATGTTTAAATGTATTTAATAAATTATTAAAATATTTTAATAATTATTGAATTATCATTAATAATTAATTAATTAATTATTATTATTTTTATATTTACTAAATTTTAAAATATAATTTTATATATATATATGTGATATATATATTTATATATAAATGAGTTGATAAATATATATGAGTTATTTTTTATCTTATTTTTTATTGTTATTTATTAAATGTTGTTTTAATTTTTAATTATATATAAATATTTAATGCATATTAATATTGATTGATTAATTCTTATATAATAAATAACACTTATATAATTACATAAAACACATACCGATTTCTAGATTTACATAAAAATTGGGATATTAATTATATTTCATTGTTATTTTTATTGATCATATTATTTTTATGAGCATGTTTTTTAAGGGATTTATCAAAAGAAAAAATCTATAAAATTATATTTTCTACATAATATTTATATTTCAAACATTTGATCAAAAGAAAACGAAAACAGTAACAGTTTGATAAATAAAATGTTTGAAATGCAGACAAAAGTTTGATATGTAAAAGAGTAAATGTTTGACTTCAAATTATAAACAGTTTATAATGAAAATTAATATACCCTATATTCTCAGAAGATTGTGTATCTGAATTGAAATTGAATCATGTTAATTAACACCTTTCTTTGCCAACAATCGTGTAGTAAGTAAATCTGTTGATAATGTTTGACAATAAAGTTTGATGTACAATAAAGTTTGATGTGTTCGTATCTCCGCTAACTTCTCTATAATTGTTGTATCTCAATTCATCAATTAAAAAATTCTCGTACAATTATTCTTAACAGTTAACTATGTTGGGAAATTTTTTAAATTTTATAATAAATAAGCCCCTGAAATTCATTTAAATTTAAAAAAAAAAAGTAACTCTTTATTAAAATTTTACCATTACATTACCTTAATACAATAACTCTAAAACTCCACAAAAAAAAAACCCACACACAAAAGAAAAATTGGCCTTGTAAAAAATCTCTCCAAAAATTTCATTTTCGTTTTCACTTAAAATAATAAAAAACCAAAAACAAAAAAAAAAAATAACTAGAAAGGGGCAAACATACATAGTTGGTATAGAATGTTTACGCAAAAATTTCAATTTCCTTTTTCTAACCATCCAAATCCATTCATCCAGAGTTTTTTTTTTAAATTCTTTTACTTTTTCATTTTTTTTCTTTCCAACTTTACTTCGCTTTTGTTGATTCTGCTCAATTTAAAATTTTCTCCAGTTATATATTTTTTTTGCTTCTTTGCTTTTTATAACATTTTTCTCTGGCACCATACAAATTTTACCACTAACCAATATAACATAAGGTAGAAAAAGAAAAAAAATTTTTTTGTTTTCCTTATTTTGTTACCAAAAAAAAAACCCGTTAAAATATGAGTGAAAGTTCTTTAAAGATCATCAATTTCTATATAAGTATATTTGTTATACACATACGTATATATTTATGCATTATACATTTATACATATAAGTTGCTGAAATTCATTTGTGTATAACAATATAGAAAGAAAACTAAAATAATGAAAAGCAAAAATATATTGCTGGATTTTTGCATTTTTCTCACCTTTAAATCTCATATACATACACATAGAACACAATTATATTACATGTTTGAAATACTCATATTCTTATACATACATTCGTAATTTAATTTCTGTTATACAAAATGACTTTAAAAAGTAAAACGTTTTCATCAGCAAGTCGCGCATTCAATTATTTTATTTATTAAGTGCGCAAGTTTTGTATAAAAATAAAATTTTTTCATTCTCTTTTTTTTTTCTACTTAGTCTCTATTTTCCTTTACCTTTCTCAAAATAATGTTAGGTATCAAGGTACGTTGTTATTCAGCTTTATTTTATAAACTTTTTCACTGTTGCTCTCTCTTACACAATACATATTATATACTTCAATTTATATATTAATTAACATTATAATTTAACATGCGATATTTGCCAAAATATAATGATAATGTATTGACTTTGGTAATAATTGTATGATGACTGTGTATGAACCTTTATGTATGTAGCTTAAAAATAATTGAAAAGAAAAAATGTAACTTAAAACCGGTTTTTAAGCAAATTTTTTTTTTTTTGCTTAAATTTACATATATATATGTATATATGTATAGAGGTAAACAATTTAACGGTAATATACGCAATCATGACTGTTATGTTATTTCTCTTTTTAATTATATTTACGTTGAATTTTTTCTGTATTTTTTTTATTCTTTATAAATGCATATAAAAGTCAACGATATAAATGGGTGCGGGCTTAATGAATGAGGAAGAAATGGAAATTGGTTAATTTTTTCTTTTTTTTTTGTATTTTATATTTATTGTTTTTATTTTTTCTTAATATATATTGTATATGTAAAAATATGTTTGTATATTTGATTACAGGTGAGATAATTTGCAAAATGCATGTACATATATTTTGTATAACAATATGTACATATATATATATATATATTAAAGTTTATTCAATTATAAATTTTTATTTATTTGCAATTATAAGGCAAAAAAATAATAATTATTATTATTATTGAATGTGATAATTGCAATTATAATTGAAAAAATATTGCTGCCTTAATGAAATTTTCTATTTGTTTATGGTATAATTTTTTAAAAGGCAAATGAGTTTTTAACAAAATTATTACCAAACATAATTATTATATTAATAATTAATAAATAATCCAAATATAAGCATTCATAAACATTGAAATTTCTCAAATAAAACAATTCATAAAATCATATATCCCTCTTGCAGTTTCTTTTCATTTTTAGTTAATAAAAAATGATAAATAAAAGCTGTACACTCACTTAGATTCATTTACACTAATTTTAGATTTAATATTTAAAAAAAAAATAAATAAAACAATTTAAAATTATATCAGAATTATTTTTCTCCATCATCAATATTATGCAATACTACTTTTAATCTCATATATAAAAATATTTCACTCTCAGAAAATTTATATAATAAAATAATTTTCAAATTTATTGCATGATATATTTGAATTTTTATGCTTTATTCTTTCAGCTATATTCATTATGTAAAATTATGCTGTTACTGGCATGCATATTAGATCTATAAATGTATGCAGGCAGCATAATACAAAAAAAAAAACACGTTCGCTTTTAATATAATTTTTTTTTCTAAATTTGCTCAAAGTTTTTATTAAAAATAGAATAGAGAGAGAGAGTTAAAGACATAATAATAATTGTAGAAGAGTAAAATAAATGTTAATAAAGCTTTTCATTAAATTCTCTCATATTCTTATAACTAAAATATCTATTCATGAATGGTGTAAAAAATTTTTTTTTTATTTTATTGCGTTTTGATCATATGAGTAACGTAGAAAAAATATTACTCCTACTATCCAAGTTTTTTATGTTGTACGTATTGTGAATGCAACTTCGATTAGATTCCTATATTATTTTCCTTGTCTTTTATATTATATTGTAATAGTATTTTAATGCTATGAATGGTTATTAATACTTTTTATATTTTAACTAAAACTTTATTACTCAATTTTTTTAATTTAATTTTAATAATTATTTTATTAATATTATTTATTATTTAATTTATTTGTTTTGCAATTATTGTTTTTTTTTCCCCTTAATTTGATCAAAATCAAAAGAAAATTTTTTTTATTTCACTATATTGCAACCTATTATACATATTTAAATTTAATAATAAAAATAGAAATTGGTATAATATTATTGTATATTAATATGTATAATATAAATTTATATTAATATTTCCATATATATGCACAAAATATGTAATATTCCTCGCCAAAAATATATAAAAAAAGAAACAAGTATATTCTCTATTTTTATAAAAAAAATATTTTCTCTTGATCGCATTTCTACTATTTCAATTCTAATATATACATAAACTATAAAAGCATTTATTATGAAATGTGGTGAAAAATATCAGGAAATCTCTATTTTTAAAACTACATAAAAAAAAGGAGTATTAAACTCTCGCATACTATAATAATAATAATAACAATAATAATAAAATTTATTTGTATGATATCAAACATTTTGTATGAAAGATAGTTTATTTTTCAGCTGTTGTCTAGCTGTTATTTCTTGTATATCATCTAAATATAAATCTATATATTTATATCAATACTCTTTTATATCATACAATATTCTCTTCTTACTTTCTTCATTAATTTACTCAATATTTACTATTTAAGTATTTTATTATAAATATTTATAAAATTGAATAAATGTTTGTTAT